GGGGGGGGGATGGAAGCAGCTATGTAAAGGAATGAGAAACTCTAGCATCACCAAAACCAAATGTTCCGGCCATCGACCGCTTTCACAGATGTTGACACCAAGGGCATTCGCCCATACTCAGCAACGAACCTATTAACACATTCGGTCCTTTTTTCATTGTGACCTCCCAAGGTACTGATTCCAGTTGAGCCAATCTCGAATATCTTACCTACATTAGCACAACAAACATGCATTTAACATGATTAATACATGTGCATGAGTATGTATAATCATGCTCTATCAAAATCTCAGGCTCACATGGAAGCATGCATTAGAACTAATTTAAAGGAGAGTAATGAGTAAAGATTCCAACAGGAGAAAAAACTCACAAAAAAGTTTCTTATTGAATAGTTCACTACTATTGGTCTATTACTTGCATCACTTCTTCCCCTCCAACGGTTGATAAGTAACTACGATGAAGACTAATTGCATTACATATGCAGTCCACCATACTTTATAATATGAACTATGTGTAATTTTTTTAGTGAAACTGAAAATCATATGAATGGGAAAAGTTGAGTTCACTAATGAACATAATATAGTAATTTAATAACTATTCGCCCCATTTATTAATTTATTTTCCTGTCTCTCAAAATATCAGCTATTGGAGGATTAATTACAACCTCCACACCAACACATTTATTTGGCACAAAAGATACAGGATGAAATGGGCTATATCTAGAAGCTTCAAGAGACCATGGGCACAGCAGTAGAGTAAAGAGGGTGTTGGCCAGCAAAACTTTGTTGTGTGCTCATAGGTTCCATAACCTATGAGCAACTTATAGCAAAAGCATTAGTGCTTGCCATCTTTTGAGAATGATGAAGCTAATAGAAGTCATTCTAGGTACATTCCAAATGCATGATAATTATGAAGCAAAAAGAATTATAAAAGTCATCCTGGGAAGATTCCCAAAGGAGCCAGAAAAACAGTAATGCTTTCCACTAAAAAAATCCTACTTATTCCACTTGGGCAACATATATTTAGAAATTGAAACTCCACTCAACACTGGTTAGGACCAATTTGTGCTAGAAAGCTTAAGCAATCAGAAGTAGCAAATTCTCACATTTCTTTTTATCCTAATGCCTCCTATACCTCCAAAGAACTATAACATTGACAACACTGGTCTCTTTTACAGATTAAGCCAAGTTAAAAGCTGGTGCATTGCATTAGACCGTACACCAGTGCACCATTTAAGCGAGTAAAAACTAGGACCCAAGGTTAATATAACATTTACCTTTCACCCATATTGGTGGAGCACCAGTTGCGTTTGCAACAAGGAAAGACATTGCAATATCTTCACAATTCCTGCCGTATTCATCCAAATTAGTGAAAATTTTCAAAAATACAAAAAAGTGAAATGACAGACAGAAAATAGAAAGTGATAAGTCAAATAATGACATATGAAAAAAGGAAATAAGAACCTGCTCTTAGTTACATATTTTCTGATAGATGCAGGCATTTCATTGGTATACAAACTGAGATACTTTTTGTGGAAGAAGGCAGCTTTAGAGAGTACCATACTGTATGTACCCATCCACCAAACAGACCACCATCCTCCGTAAATGTAGTGGTCCGTATTTCCTTTCTGCATAACAAATTATTGATTAAAGTGACAACTTTGGCCAATTAACTTCAATACATCCCAGAGGCTGTCTGATGCATATAACAAGGAAAATGATAATGGATAAGAACAGATTCAAACTGATGGAAAATATTCTTGTGATATTTGCCAGTAATTCTGCTGCCTTGTGATAACATTAATCCCTCCACATGCAAATTTTTGCTCCGAAAATACTCAGCAAGCTTAAGTGTCATTTCCTGCATAAAGACCATGCTCGGTGCACTCTTGAGAAAATTTGTTAACTTTCCCTAGTCAGTCTTACATAATTTCAGCAAATCTCCATTTTTGGTCTTCCTTTCAATACCTCACGTATCAACTTGTCCACAAACCTCATCACCCTTGTGTTTGAAAGCATTATTTAAAGTCTCTGCATGAGAGATGTTTCTCATGAATCTGGCTGGCAGGGTCCATTCTGGATCATAATTCAGATTGGCAAATTAACTGAAAAGATATCTCAATAGAGTTGTCTCAACAACCACAGAATACCTTGACATATAGAGCGGCATGCACTACCAATTACTATGCAGTAGGTGTTGAAAAAGGCGTATAGCGTGATAGAGCAAATATAGCCTTAATAGATTGTAGCCCTTAACAGTTACGAGTGATAACAGAAATATATGAAACATAAAGTTCAGTTTTTTCAAAGAATCAACTTGTTCAACCAAATAATTGTCAAAAGAAAGAGCTGACAAATATAAGCATGAAGCTTCAATCTCATTTTAAGTTATCGACAACTAAAAGATTTTATCAGTAGTTAAATTCTAGTTGGTTAAATTTAAAGTTGTTATAGCAACTTAACTCCACGTCCAACTTTTTGCTTCAGTGACCTTTATGCATCTGAAATGGCATAGAAGAGTCATTACAGAGGCTGAAATCCTTTACTCAGTTAAAGCATCTGAAACTGATTTTACATGTTTTTTCCATATAAAGTGCAGAGCACATGGAAGCCTTGGGAAGGCAAAGAAATGGCATACTCGCATTAAAGATTCCTTATCTTCACTGTTAGAAGTATAATAAGTGTGTATATCAAATATTAGTGCAGAAGGCCAGATACCACTAGGTCTACATGGAGATGATTTATCATAAAAAAGAGCAACTCAGCAAAACAAAGGACAATAAAAACAAACACATACCAATTGATCGACCCAATGGATGCGGGGTACAAATCCCACCATTGCATCTGGTGCACTCAGCCAAGCACTGAAAGCAAATTCTACCGAAGAGCAAGGAAATATAATATCATCGTCAATGGAAAAGATGGCATCTGTCTTCAAGTCCTTAATTTCTTTAAATCTATTGTTGAGACTATCTTCCTTATTGATATCATATTTCAGTTCAATCTGTCGACCATCCCTGGAATTTGATTTTATCACATGGTTTAGATAGGTAACAAGAGAATCTGAAGGTGGATCAGGTTCACTCCAGACGATATGTACAGAGTCAAGCCCAGGACATGATGTATAATGAGAGATAGACTGTTTCAAAAGATCATTTCTCTTCCACGTGTTAATCAAAATAGCATATCCTTTCCTGCACAAAACATGAAACAGAAAGAAACATAAGAAGAATTGATTTTCTTCCTTGTAGAAAGGAAAAAAAAAGCCAACAATAAGAAAGAAATCGAGTTTGGGTGTTTTAATCAACCATTCATCCAGATGTTTCAGAGTGTAGAAGTTTTTGGTAGAAACCTGCATATTTCAAAAGTCTGTCTCTAATATACCTAAATATTCAAAAGCTCAAAATTCTAACACCTCTAGATGTCTAGCTCTGTGTATCTCGATAAATAAAAAACTAGGTGGCAAGAACACAATTTCAGTTAAATATGAACAATCACCATAATGGAATATAAGAATAGATAACTCAAGCATGCATGGAAGCGGCAAATATCAAATGTTACCAATGCTCATCTCATTTAGCAAGCAATAAAGAAAACTTGCAGCTAGTATGTGCCTTCATTCGTAAGTATTGTGCCACAATATTCAAGCAAAAACAAAAGCTTCAGTGAACAACAGAAGAATGTGTTCTTGATAATGAAAGAACACAAAAGACAAATAATATTTCGGAAGATTACTTCTTTCAATGCAAATGGAAGTAATATTCAAGAAGATTAATTCTTTCAATACAAAAGGTGCTTCCTACGGCGAAAGCAGACTACAAGTATAAAATTTTTCTTGCAAAAGGTATAATAAAGTCATGGAGATGGTGGAACCTGCCAATTACTGATTTTGATCACTATTGTCAACATCCTCGCAGCAGAAAACTATATTTATTAATATATCAGCATCTCACGCATTGTGGCCTATCCCTCCACATAAAACTCACTTCAGGAAGTCATTAGGTTCACTTGATAGCAACTTGACCAAATTAAACATTCTGTCTATCTTTCTTGTACATAATTTTTTTTTTGAAATAAGTCATTAAAACAAAAAAGGAGTTGATGTCCCCCCACTAGACATATAATCTCCATTCCGTAGTTACATTGGCAACAAAAATTACGTAGCTTCTTGAGTAACAAAGCAGCATATTGGTGGAAGTCGTGTGCCGGTGCCGGTGGCAAGAGTAAAGATAGCAAATTGGAAATTGTGAAACTGCCAGAGGTTAGGTACTTGTAATCTTGGTTAGGTGCTAGAGATGGCAATCAAAAGGTGACACTAATGGTGGTCTTCTTGGTAACGGAATTTCAGACATAATATTACATATCCCACAACGTTGATTGGCTGCCAGCAGTGGTAAATCGGTGATAGTGCAAGGCGGAGGTGGCAGTGGAGGCCAAGGCAACCATCATTATCATAGTTATTTAGAGATTGAAAGCAACTGAAATTGATTTAAGCAAGCTAATATGTCACAGGAAGAAATACTATATACTGCCGCTCCAATTGAAATTTGCATGTGGAGTTCTTCACTAAGAACTAACCAAAATTTTGGTTTTCCATTGATGCTTCATAAATAAACAAGAAGTTGCAGGCAAAAGAAGATATTCAATGCTGAAAACCAATCCAATTCCGACCCTAGCTCCCTGGTTAATCTGTGACCAAAAGTGATCTACATCCCAATTGCTTTCAAATCCTCACACCAAGGAAATAGTACAAAAATGTGAAATCTAACTTTCCAGTAGAAGCAAAATCTTGACCTATTGGTGTTGAGTGAGGAAGCTGAAAGGCCTACAAACCACTTACCATCAAATTGTGGTTCTAGGGAGGAAAGGGAATGATGGTTAATATTGCCTCTATAAGAGGCCTTGTTTAGTAGAAGGGAAGGGTCCAAAGAGGCCATCGAGATTTGAGATGTGGCGATGGCGTGCCGTTTTGTTGAAGTTGGTGATTCATGAAGGAGAAGTGAACTCCATTCACGAGATCAAGTATGCGCCTTTGAATACTTTCCTTCAGTATAAGCGATTTAAATGTACTCATCTTTTGTAAAGCGTTTCACTTCTTTCCTTTCCGTAGAATTGCGAGTTGATGTTCTGTTGAAATTTTAGTTGTACCCCACATTTTCACTGGGCCTGGCGGGCTGTGAATGAAACTCATCCTTGTTTATACAAGACAAAATAATAATGATAATAACTGAGTTCTTTTTGACTCATATGAACAAAATGTCTTTTCTCTCTCTCTCTCTCTCAATCTCTCTCTCACAACATCAAATTGGTTCCATTCCACCAAATTAGTGTGATAATATTCTGAGTCATTTTTATCTTCAATGCAACCATTTCAAGCAACAAATAATAAACTTTGCAGGGTCATTTCTGACAACTTTTATGGATCAACCCTTAGGCTAATATTTTGGGGCCACTACAAATTCTATTACGCAACAATATTACAAATGTAAACTATGCAACCTTTCTCTGTACTGTAATCAAGCGTGGTGTCATCACACCAACTCAAATCATGGGAATTATTACTTAAAGAACCAATGTTTCAGACAAATATCCAAAAAACGGATTCAGACTAGGATAAAGCTTTCTGTTTCTGCTTCAATTTATAACCAATTTGAGTTACGTGGAAACTATTCTTAACTAAATCGAATTAACGAAAATGACATGCGTTTAAATAAGGAAATGATTATAAATGCTAGATTACGCACCGCAATTAATGCAAAATCAATATGGATAACAAAGTAATTAACTAAGTAATTGCAATAATATATGCTTGTTTGGTTCTAAACATACTGACCTCGGACCATAAATTCGATGAACAGGAGCACCAGTATGATGCTTCCATCCCACAAATGACGATGTTCGGCTCGCGAACGCGATTAAGGTGAACAATATACAGCAAGAGAGCAGAAGTTTGATCTTCACCGATCCAACCGCCGAGATCGCGCCTTGTCGCAACCCGAGAGCCGTTCGACGGCTGAACAGGCCCGTTCTCATCACTCACTATGACGACAACGATGACGAGCCAGCCGGTCCGAGTCCGCTATTCAGTGGCGAGTCGACTCAGTGGCTCTCGATCCTTTCGGAGATTCCATAAACCATAACAACGGTCACTTCCCTCTCTCCCCCCTCCCCAGTCGTGGCCGGTCGATTTGGGAAATGTTATGGAGTGTCGAAGGTGTACGATATAATCATATATAAAGCATGTCCGGACAAGAACTATGATGGACGGCTATGATTATTGGTTCATGTTGTGATTGGATGGTCCTGATTCATGGATGAGTCTATCTCCTCTTTCTCTCTCGGTAATGTCGAAGCAACAACGTCCACGTCAACATTCTCGTCTGCCGCGTGAAAGATCAGAGAAAGGGAGAGAAAATGTTTCAGTGAGAACAAGCAGAGTTGAGGAACATTTGTGAGTTAGTTTTGACCGTTGGAGGGGTAGTGTACTGGATTGGTGATTGGGTTATGATCCGTTGTAATTGCTTGGGAATAGTTTGTGACCGTTGATAGTGGATTAAAGGGGTTGGAATATACGACACGATGGGAGTCGGCTTTAGTCGTGGTGGGACCCAAGTACAACACCGTGGGTGAACCCATGTGATGTGAACTGAAGACGGTTGAATTTTCTAACTGGGTGGGCTGGGGATGGAATTTTCTTGCTTTAAGATCAGTAATCGTGTGCTTCTCAAAAAATTGATTTGTTTATCTTAAAAGAGGAAAAAATAATAATTTAATTTGATAGTAAAAAAAAATAATAAAAAATTTAATTTGATATAGACCCCGGGCTTAAAAAAAAGTCTCTCTTAATTTGAGCTTAAAAAAAAATTTCTTTTCATTTGATATAAATATAAATATAAGAGTGAAGAAGTATTTTAAATTTTTTTTATCTGAATTCAAAGTTGAATAAAAAAGAGGCGAGGGCTAGAGACGTTCGAGTAGTCTTAACCTACTGCTGCTAAATGGATTGACCCACTCTCACTTGATTCCAATTTCTAAACTAATTTAAATTTGATTTTGTTCAAGTTGGTTCATATTAGAAAATGAATCAAAGTTAATTATTATGTGATGATGCCATGGATCATAATTAGATTATCTTTCAATACTCGACTTTGACAATTTAATCCAACTATGAAGTCCAGAGTTGACACAACTATTCAACAACATGGGTGTCTTTCTTACGACATAGAGCTTGAAATAATTTAATGCAGTTTGATTATAAAGTTTTAGTCAAGCTAAGTTTCTCGCTTTAACAGTTCTTTCTAAGAAGAGCATCTCTCAGGCCATCAAATAATGTCTATCCAGCTTGGATGATAACCACAAAAGCTCAAATATGCGAATATCTAAGGAAGAACTGGGTCCATCAAGTTAGCTCAACCTTAGACACAAAGATATCGCCTCCAAGATGACACATTATCGTTTCTAGAAGAATAGGTGAAAATAGTGCTATTGATATTCTAACGTCTGTGGCAGTTGCACCCTCTTAAACACAGAGGGTGGTAGTACGCATAACGATCCAGAGATCGGGGGTATAGCGGCGCCGGATAGCAAAGACTGTTACTAAATAGTGACGGGGGACCCATAGAATCAACAAAAAGATAGAAGGTACCACCGAAAACCCTAGAAGAAAGGACTGGTATAAATAGAACAGTGTTAGCCTACTAGAGAGAGCTCTCTTTCCCACAACATCTCCCCCACTGTATTCCTCCGCCCTAGATATACAACGAACTAAGTATTAGCCCTTATAAAAGACTCAGTGTCAACAATCTTACTGTACACACTTGGTATCAATATACGACCTTAAGGAGTAAAAAATTTCATTACAGGAGATGTAGTTTTGATCTTTCGGTTAAGGTGAACCACTTACATTTTGAACCTTTCATTATTAGCAAATCAACCACATATCTGATCGAATTCATTAATCTAGGCAACAATTCATTAATTGGGCTTGGACTATTATTTCCGAGACCCCATTAGACTTACTCGTTCATTCTTTTCAACCACAATGATAAGTGCAAGTCCAAGCTTAAATTTGAAATTGTAGTATAAAAGTGAATTAGACAATTAAATTTGAACAAACGATCTAGAAATCGATCTAAACTTAAGTAAGAGTACAAAGTCAGCAATCGAGCTTCAACTGTAACAATTAACTCGATCAAAGCCTAAATACACTAAAATCCAAAAATTTCTACTTAGTCACCGATCTAGGTCTTTGTCTGTCTTTATTGTATCCAAGTGTGTAGATTGCAAAGATTTATAGACATAGACATTTTCCTCTTTTTTTTGTCTTAGTCAATTTTTGTGCACTTCGGTTAATTCTTTCCTCGGTCCAGCCAAATGCAAATTATTCGCACCGATATTATAGTATTTACAAGAGATAAATTCCTTATGATCAGGTCTCAAAAGGTAGTCAAGATTGGATTACAGAACATCTGAATTTATAGTTTATCATTATTACTACTTGAACTATCTTTAAGTTTATAAACATATTTCTTGAAACTTAAAAGTTACCACTTCAAACTCCACATAGTAATGGGTTCCCATGCTACTAGTATCGAATATATTGCATCCGAGGAAGCCCAAGCCATTTGTTCCTTGTGCTAAACATGGTACCCACTACCACTACACTTCAAAGTCGGGTAGAACTCCTCTGCTATACATCAGAGGATTATTCCCAAAAACGACTTTGTTGTGAGTACATCACATAGTTCTGTACGTCGTTTTGGGAACAACACATGGTGCTATATAGCAAAGAATTTTTGCCCTTCCAAGTCAATACAATCATGGGTTTCTATGCTGGTTTCGAATACTAGCTCCTTCTTTGATAGCCTGCATTTACTCAGGATTTTCCATGGATTGGTTTGGGGGACTCCGTCCAAAATTATCGGGCTGGGCTGGATACCAAATAAAGGTTCTTGTATCCCAGCCCAACCTGTGGCCCATGACTACTGCAAGCAAGGCCCATCCCGGTAATGCACTATATGGGCCCGGTGGTCCATGGAAAGTACGGACTCAGAGCCTGTGTATGATGAAGTAAAGAAGAGGTAGTATGAGGCTTTGGTCTGAGGGTAAGCTTTAATCATTATTGCCCGCCACACATAAGATAGTCGGCTTTGTCCTTTCTTTGCTTCTAAGCCAAGGCTTCATGATGGACACACATTTTCGTCAATTCGCTACTTACCAGTTGGTCTAATGCGTGAGAATTCGAAGACTCTAGCTAGACTCTGCTGACTCTTCGCTCTTCGTCTAATTCAAGGATAGAAAGTAACGACATTAGCTACGGTAAACTTATCAATGAGTTGTTAATCTTATTCGCTCAATATTTGAGTTCGTATTTTCATATTTACAATAATTTGTTAGGGTTAAATTTACTCTTTAGTACTCAAAACACGTAGTGAGACTTTTGTTTCAGTTCTGACGTAAGTTCGATAGAATCTCATGCAAATAACTGTGTGATACTGAGAGGCAATACACCTAGGCGAATATATGAGTGACTTATCTGCATATTCATTTTAGGCGCCAAAATAAAAAAAAACTTCATAAACTTAAAAAAATTATTTTGAAAATAGTCATATTATTAACATATTGTTTGGTTACGTTTTTTTTTTGCAGGTAATTTTTTTTAATGAAAAAATAATTTCTTTGAGCTAGCAAAAATATTTCACTATTAAGTGAGTTCTACTATACAAAAGTTACTTAAAAAGAAAAAGGTCCCTTAATTTTCAGAAGGTTTAACTTGATTTAGTGTTTTGTTAGGCTACTACTAACTTAAAATGCCAATATGACACTTATAGAAAGAGTAACTGGTTTTGCATTTCTTTATGGACTAAAGGGTTCTGGACAAGGTTGCCTGTTTACATGACTATAAAACAGTGAGGTAAGGAGAACCTCGAGGATAGTGGTGGCTTAATAACTCCACAGTTCGTCATTGAACCGTTAGATTGCAAGTTTCAACCTTACAAATTTGTTGGTCCCAGATGTTATACAAGCGGCAGCAAAATGTCGTTAGACTGTTGATTACGTGCACTTGGAGAGAAAACAAATATGGCAACTTTCAATTTGATCGGAAGTTTTATGAGAATTTTTAGATGAAGTCTTTCATGATTAAAAATATATTTATATAGACTTCCAATAGTTACCAATATGCAACCATTCAAACAGGAGACACAAACTTTGACAAAGGTTGTGTCCGTTGCCGACCCACCAACGGTTGTAGTCGTTGCCAAGTGTAACCGCCGTCAACCGCTTCCTCTCCTATTCGTACACAAGAAAACACCACCGGTTAATGTCCATGAGTTCACTGACTTACGGCTCCCACTTAAACGTACATGGACATGACTCAAGAGTTTTCCAAGTTTGCAATCCTTGCTGATAGCATACTTTAGGTGACTTCAATTCACTCTATAACTAAGTGATTGGCATCAATGCTCCATACTAGGGATCATAAGGTCCACACCTTCAGTATCATTGAAGACTTCAGCCAAACACAAATTTAATCAATGTGTCAACCTGTGCCCGAAATTTTGATCAAGTACTTCCTCTAAAGCCCATGCAAAGGTTTTCCTCAATACACTTTATCAATGACTTAATACACCATGCACCTTATGTGACTATGCAGAGATCTCATGGTGCCTTAAAGTGGACTTTACACTCATGAGCATGCGTTAGGCCTGGAATGTCTGATGGTGTCCTCTACCTTTTATCTGACCAATTCATATCCCCAATCAGGTAGAGTCACAACTTTCTATAAATCTTAGGCGTCCCCAAAATTTCTCTAAAGATGTCCTTCACTACGTAATGCAACAATACCTAAGTACTTCTTAAACCCATTGTAGTTACATGCTCTCTGAATTTTTCTAGAGTCAACCCCTTGGTCATAGGGTCAACCACCATCACTCCCGAGGGTATATAGTTGACTTTTATTTCACCCCTCTCCACTATATCTTAAATATAGCGATAATTTACATCAATGTGTTTTCTTTTAGAGCTATTAGCTCCACTTTTTTATTAAAGATATAACAGACTTATTGTCACAAAACACATTGACTGGCCTACTAGGTATACCCAACTTTAAACTATCAACAAAGCGTTTAATCCAAACAGCATTACTTATCGCTGTACTGCACGCTATGTATTCGGCCTCCATTGTATACTTTGCAACACAACCTTGCTTCTTACTTAACCAAGAAATAGTCGTTCCACCAAAAAAAAATATATGGCCACTAGTAGATTTTATGTCATTTACAGCACCTGCAAAGTCTGCATCCGTATAGCCAATAATTTCTAGATTATTTAATCCAAAACACAATTTCATACTTGTCATACCTCTCAAGTATCTAAAAATTCTCTTCGCTGCCTGCCAATATGCCCTTCCTAGATTGGATTGATATCTACTAACTAATCCTACCGCATAACATACATGAGACTACCCACAGCTTGTGCTAG